GAGGGCGGCTTTGGAGGGGAAACGGGGCGAAGGACTCACGTTACAGTAGATGCCCAACTTCAAGTCCTGGGCAAATGCTAGGCCTTTGATGCCAGAAATATAGCCAAGATTGAAGAACCAGATATTGGCCAGAACTTTGCCTTCCCAGATGTATCCTGCAATGATACGGCAAAAAATATCAATTTGAATCTTCATATTTGTCGTCGCATAGACCCAAGCGAGCTGAATTTGACGAATTAGCATTTCTTCATACCAGCAGCAGTTTTAGAAGGTGCTTACGGGAACGAAGAAGATGGCAGACACTGCGAACGCGAGGACTACTCCGTACCAGCGAAGCTGAACCGGGTAGAACTCGCAAGCAAACATCCCGAATCCCAGAGCAAGCAGCGCAGCAACCCAGTACCACCAGAGCGGGACGGCCTTGTAGCCTGGCTGAGGGTTGTGTCTAGGGACGATCTTGCCCCCGAGGAGAGCAGAAAGCTGGGTGGACCTGAACGCAGCTGCAATGTGTCGGCGTTTCTCGAGGAACAACCAGACAAAGAGTGATGCGATTGTGGCAAATGAGAGACCAAAGGTGTTGAGCGCATACGTGACGGGAAGGTAGATCTAAGTAAAAGAAGTCAGCATTCTCGTTTGAAGAGCTACTAAAAATAATATAGTATGGGGAGTTTGGGGTATTTGCGTACGTCTGAGTAGTTGGCGTATTTGACAGGATCGAAAGTAAAGTCGTCCTTTTTGTTAATCACTCTGGAAACATTGAACGTCTTTCCCAAGTTATCGTAGATGGAATTGCTCTGGATGGGTAAGTAAGCTGAGTCCCAGGTGTTTGAGTAGTACAGCGCCGGGGAAATAATGTAGATCCAGAACACCAGAGAGGCCAGGATGTTGAGAATGGCCCACGTGGGAACGACAAGCGGAGAACCAATATAGGCAATTTGACTCCCTATTTGATATTAGTATCAACGAGCTTTCCAGGACTTTGTTGGGCCTATGAGGGTTTACTTACAGTCGAACGTGAAAGGAAACAAACCGATGCCACTCTTCATGCCGAATACCTGGTTGACAACCGCATTGTTCGGAGCAATCCAGCAGACCCAGGTGAAGTAGCCCAGCGCCGGGAAGATGAAGTCTGGGAACCAGTACCAGCAAAACGAGGCAATAAAGGCGAGCATAAAGAACTTGTAGCGAGATGCCGTCCACTTTGCTCTAGGGTGCCGATATGTCAGAATGAATTGAACTAAGCATTGAATAATGTGAGGGCACTTACTCGGTCTCGTCCTCTCTCTTGCCAGTGTGCAGCGCAGCATTGAGGGCTGTGTTTCCAAGAACACCAGGCCACAGCAATCCTGGGGGCTCAACAACCAATGCATAGCATAGTCCGGCCAGAGCGAAGCCGTAGAGAATTGTTGACAGTGTAACAGTCAACTCGAATCCCCATCCTGCCTCAAGCCCGTAAAAGACTCTCTGTTCGGTCAAGACGTCGGCACTCAGCCGAGTCAAGAAGCTGAGGTTGGCCATGATATAGACTAGGATGTTTTCCTACGAGATAACGGGTTGTTAGCGTCGGGTGTCACAGGGGCTATGACATTCAGGGATGATGCCAACCTTGTAGTTGAACGGGCCTGGGTTCAGGCTGATGCGATTACCCCTGATGCTGAAGCCCCAGTCGGGAACAACAAACTCCCATGCTTTTCCAACAGGGTATGCCAGAAATTGGATCGCTGACTGGGAGAGACTGATGGATGGGAATCGGAACGTATACAAAGTGTTGACACCGCTGCCCAAAAGGCAAAATCCAATGCCAATCACCCACATGCGGAGCGTCAGGCATGGCAGGGAAGGATCATCGGGTCTCAAACCAACTCCAGCAGCATACAGAACATCTCGACTCGGGGCGGAGGATTCGTCTAATCTTGGTCAGGAAGGAAATTTCTGAATGGAATCGTATGTCGCACCTGAAGAACGCTTCGCTTCCTCAATGGACGTCGTCGGTGTCACAGCCTCTGGCGCGACGTCCGCGATGTCCGCACCCTCGATGGCGGACTTTTGGTTCGCCTCGACGTTGGCCATATTCGATTGTCGAAGAAGATTGTACTCAGTTGGGACGAGATCATCAAGATTAGATCAGATTAGATGCGAAGAGGTTCCATCAGACTTTTATCCTTCCCGCTCAAAGCTTGGACCTCGGAGCCTCCGCGTCTAAGACGGGACTCGGCGACGCCAGAGTGGGAGGGGTCCCACATGTCCCGTGCCGGACTCCGGCCGTTGGCGTAAGCTTGATGAATCCGTGACTGATACTATGGGATGTTTCGAGGGTAATTGTTCGTGTTTTCTACGGAAATGGTTCCGAATATGGGAGGCATATGGCCAACCATGTCTTCAGGTGCAACGAGGAGGCATCGGAATTTCGCTCCGTTGGCATCATCCTTGATCACGGCGACCGCGGGAGGCTCAACCCATGGCCTTGTAGGGCTAAACGAGGGCCATTTGGAGTAGCGCTAATCACGCATTTGACGCCGTCCGGCCCGAGAAAGTGGTGGAGGGGACGCCGAGACGGGGATGCGGCCTCAAGATCAGATGGTTTCTCCACTCTTAAGATCTTTCTGTCCATTCAGAGGCGTTTGTGTAGTCAAGAATTCTCTTAATCGCCGACGGCTGCTGGATATTTATTCCGTTCGAGGTCAAGTGCAGCTATCGTGAGGTCAGCCATCTTGACAAACCAACAGTGTCTGTGGCGCGAGGTTTTCGCATTGGAGGTATGGGTACTGAGAGCTTCTTCGACCCAAAAAGGAGATGTCATATTTGATGACTCGCCGAATTTCCGAAGCATTGACAAACGAGATGAAGATCGATACATACGAAGCATCATTCAGAATCCGAACATACTTTATCTGTTGGGTAGTCACCCCTAGCTTATTTTAGACTTATAAGACTCGTGTGACAGACTGCTCAAAAAAATCGTTCGGTCTTTCTTCACAGATCACACCTACGACAACCTGCCGAGCTCGATACAAACAGTTGACACTATGCCGGATGCAGCCTGACACCACTAGCCACCGAGGCTCAGCGCTTCGACGAGAAGTTTCCACTAATCGCAACGATCTAACAACATTTTTCAAGCCGGTCTATCGATGGTCCGTGGAAATGGGAAAATTGCTGACGCCGGCGGCCAAAATGAGGGATAAAAAGCTCCAGTTTCTCGCTCTACCCCCTTCTTCCCGAACGAAATCCGACCAACCCCACCCGCTCTGTACCGGTTTGACCCGTTAACCCACGGCCAAACTCCGTCGACCTTGAAGAGGCCGAATCATCGTTCACCATTGACACATTTAGCCGCTCGTGGGGCCTTTCCAACCGAGACTACCTTTCCGCATTCCGCGGGCATGCACGACCATGCATTCCCTCTCGCGATTCTCCAACTCTTTCCCTGAATTCGGTAACTGCGAAACCTGCAGTCCTGCAGGTTGAAGACTCCATCTGCAGTGTAAGCTGAGCTATTGGATATGACTTGGACGAACTTTCTGCAACTGCAGTCGTGAAAAGTGAACCCATGGGCAAAGTGTGGATTTGCGTGCCTTCGTCTCTTCTTTTTGAGGAGCCTCGTAGATCCTTGGGTCTCCTGTCAATAATAAGCTCAAAGTGCCAAGGCGGCTCAGCACAGGCCTGGAGCTTGCTTCTCATCTCCAACAGTTGGTTCGCAGACATGACATTATGCATTCAGTTCGCATCTCGAGGCGGCGAACTCTACTTCCAACTTCCAAGTGCCAAATGACCTTGAAGACCGGCCAACTTCCGATTCCTTCTCTAAGACACTCCGTGCTGAGAAGGATGTGGATTTGGTCCTAGTGCATTGAGGAAAGTCTAGAGCTTTAAAGATCGCAGAGTTCACTGAGGCACCACTACTTGTCTCACCATTCGTCCGAGACACTGAAGAAGGTCTAGATCTGGCTGGAGCTGCTGCCCGTCTCCATCGCGGCCTAGCCTGGGTTGGGATCCTGCTGCTGCGAGGCTGCGAGCCTTGCAGGTCCCTGCGTATTGCAGTTCCGATCTAAGTTGTACTTTGGTAGCCCATCGGGACTTTGGTTGAAATTGTCGTACCCTGTGATAAGATTCTTGCAAGGCTGTACCATCGGCGTACATTCGCTCGCGGTTCTCCCTTAGGCGGCTTCTTACAGAATTTCAAAAGGAAACCAATGACTTTCGATGATATACAAAGACTCTGAAACTACAACTCAGCCCGCAGCCCCATAGTTGTGACTTACCCAGCATATATCGAACTCTGCCATGAGTTTGTCTACTCTCTACAGGAACCACAAATCTTACCACCTATAATCCGTTCGCATCATGTAGCAATTTTCGAAAAGCTGTTACCAAACTGAGGCTTCCAACACTAGAAAGACTGAAGATACGTGGATGTTGAACTATACGAGAAAGTTGCAATGTTCTATGCTTGAAGCAAAACTCGTTTCATCAAATGTTATCGAACAGATACTCAGAGTATCATGGTGGAAATTCTGACTTAAGTCTCTACTTCCGCGCAGCAAGGAGCACCAAGACCTCAACTTAAACATTTTGAATGCAATGTCATCTTTGCTCGTCTACTTGATCGTGCCAAAGACTTGTCTTTCAGACTGTAAATGATCCCAAAACCCGGATGACCGCTCTTCTTCGCTTCAGTGTTGGCCCGGAATTCGAATTATGTCGTGAAACTCAACTCATTAGTAACCTCATGACGAGAAACAGCGAGGACTCGGTGATTTCTTTGTGTTCAATGCCTGGCCAAGACACGCCTAGTAGAGCCGTATAAGTGGTGATCTGTGCTCGCAGCTCAGATCTCTGGGCATATTTGAGAAAGTAGCTTGACAAGGGAACTACCGACAATTCTACTGGCAATGTTTGACTTCACAAAAACTTCGTTTTGTAGCTGGGGATTAGTTTTGTCCAAGTTGTAAAAAGCGACATAAGCCAAAGCTCAGAAATCATGGCTTTCTAGAATGTTGTTAATTCGACTTCTGGTGATTCAAGCCGCACAGAGTCAATGGGTGTCTTGTCTCCGAGGCATACCTTCGGAAACTCCGAAGAAAGCGGTACTGGCTGGGTCTTTGTTTCGACAATGTCAAATTTGTTGACATACGCTCAGAGAAACTTGTCGGCAAACGCAATGATGAGCTCAGCAGAAATGCAGCCTGCTGTGTTAGATTGCTGGCTGAAAAGTTTTTGGCTGAGAAAGGCCTGGACGTCTCTTGGCGGAGCTCGATTCGGGTTGACGCGCCTATTCGTTGTTGGACCTCGTCCTAGTTCATCCTGGACGTGGAAACTCTAAGCGAGAGGTTTTCGAGTTCATCGTAGGCTGAGGCCGTGAGTCCAGGAGAGTAATCGGATCATCCTTGGGTAACTCGGACACTGTCGTCTGCAACTCGTCTATTGCGGCTTCTCGAAAATTATTTTTGCCCATCGTCGTAACGGTCTGGCGTGTGAAACTGAAAGATGATTTCGATGGCTGTCAAGTTGGGGTGCTGTGCTGTCTTTGTTTCCTTGAGTCAGTGGGCTCGTGAGGACTTTCCCTCGGAGCACGTCGTGATAAAACCGACATTTGACGGCGATGCACATTACCTCCGATCCAGTCAGAATTGAAGTTACGAGACAACCGCCTGGGGCGCTTGTGGCAATACTAAATGATTTTTTCCTTCTGGATCGGATTCGGCCAAGACTGCCTGGAAACTCAGCTTCTCTTGATGAGTCTTTTTTTTCTTTCTCGGGGACTGGCCATTCGGGGTATTTTCCCTTTCCAGTAACTTGCTCGGTTGGTTCGTACTTCTGACCTGTCGAAGGATGCTTCCATAAACCCACATCGCTCAGGTGTCAGTCGAGAACTGCCGCCGCTATCGATACCGGCCAGTGAGAATTTGGACAATTGTCCTGGTCGGTCAGCGCGCCCCTGTTGGCGTTCAGGTTTTGCATTGACGGCTGAGAGACTCAATATCGCTTGACTTCCGCGACGAGGACCGATCGTGGAGCCTTTTTCGTGTCGCTCTGGCGCCGACAAGCATTTTTGACACATAGAAAATTGCATTTTATTGAAAGCGTAGTTCAAAATAACTCAGACCAACTGAACAGCCACACCGTGACACCAGAGAAATCAAACACATAACGCGCCACGTCAGCTGCGCTTAACCCACCATCACGCCCTTCTCTATGACTCGACGATTTGGGGGTTCACTCGAGATGGATAACGGCACAGTAATTAACGGCACATCATGCCGGCGTCCTGGCAATAAGTCGGACGCAGCAGCCGTTCCCGTTCCTCGCCGACCGTGGACCGTGATCGGCGGAATCGCCCTGATGTGGCCCGAGGTACATGATAACCTTCCCTCCGGGAAAAAGCCAAGCCTACGGATCAAGACACCAGCAGATCATCGCATGGTCCCATAGGGTGTCTTTTTGGAATCTAGTCCACTATGGGTGCTCATCACTACCTAGACAGATGGTAGACGGGTGACGGGCAGGAGGCGAAAAACAGAGTGAGACCGAGGACACCATCACCGCCTTGGCTCGCACTGCTCACTGCTCGATCCCACTTGCCGCGATGTGCGTCCTGGCACACCTTGTCTGCATGGATGGCGCCGAGTTTTTGGATTTCTCTTCACGGGAACAGCTGTTGATTGGCCACATTGAGGTGACAGACTACTTCTGCAAGGATCCTTGTGGTGTCACTCCAGCACTGACCGACGGGATATGACCATTCGATCGTTCATGGATAATAAGCCCGCTTGAAAGTGGGGGTTTGGCTTAGCTTGCGGATATGTGGGAGATGGTCCCTTGTTTGGTCTCGTTTTTGCACCCATGTTTTCAGCGATGCTCCCTGCATTGCCAAGTGTTGAGGGAAAAAAAAACCTTTCTACCGCCAACGGCTGTGCCGCAAAATTGAAGAAAATCAAGATCGCTATTACCGGTAGTTGCAGAAGCTTAGCACTGTCCTGGTGAGCTTTTCGGGAGGCGTTCGACGGCTTCAACACTCACAGCATGAAGAGCTTCAAGGAGGGTGCGTACGATGACAAGCTCCCGAGGCATGTGAAGCAGGCTGGAGATGGCATCTGGAGAGGAGGGTTACTCCCGCGCACCCACTTGCAACGTCGACCTTGGAACACGGCGGCCACATGCAGCAGGAAGCAACTGGAGAGTTGGAGATATTCTGGTGAGATGTGAGTGACCAGGAACCAGAAACCAGTCGCTCCACCCCCACCACCACGTTGGCGGCCCGACCAGACACGATGGATGATGGAGCCCTCCGAATACCAGAGTTGCAGAGACAGACCCTTCCACCTGCTTCAAGGGCCTTCACACCCTTTCACGCCACTTTTCTTCTCGAAGTTTTGCTGCCAATGATGACCGCTGAACCAACGGATTCGCTGATCCCTTCACTTTCCGGTATAAACCGCCCATCCATAACGATCCATTTACCTGGGCATTCCACAAGACGGAGTCGCAATGAGGGTCTAGCCAGCTACGCGGCCTCCGACCTAGAGCTGTCCGGCTTGGTCGATCCCACTACGCTAGCACGAACCTAACCATACCTCCGATGGGCCCCAAGGTTTGATTCGCCCCTTGCCATCTAATCTGATCATCTGATAAAGGCAAAGATTGGGCGACATCGGCTGGAGATTTTTATGGATGTTGGGAGGGGGGTCCATCTGCCAATATAGAAAGGCCCGCATAGAACCTCGTGTCCTCGATCTGAGTTTTCTCCTTCTCTTGGTTCTTCAAGCAAGGTCAAACAGGCATTCGCCTTCAATATACTATTCCTTCTTGCCAACAGCTTCCCCGTTTCCACCCTCTTGAAAACCCTGTTCGTTGGGTTTTTCTACTGTGGCACTTCGTCGCCTTTTTTCTTGCGACCGATAATCAACAATGGCTACCATCGAGCCGCAAACGGCCGCCCACCGCACAGAGGCTGGCATCGACTATGAGAAGAACATTGCCTACGACAATGGCGCCCAGGAGGTCAACCATGACACCAAGCAGGAGTCTGACGCTGAGAGCGAGAACTTCCAGGGTGGTGTTCAGCGTGTCAGAGCCATCACCTCCGTGTGGTCCAAGAAGACCATGATCATCATGTTCTGCTTGTGAGTATCTCGCATTCCGCCACCTGGGCAACTCGAAGTGATCCCTGAAGCAAATGACTGACTTGTGTTCGTTTTGAAAAGGCTCTACCTTGTCTCCTTCGCCGATCTGCTTCTGCAGTCCGTTCAGGGCTCCCTGAACGCCTTCGTCACATCATCCTTCGGAAAGCACGGTCTCCTGGCCATCGTCAGCATCTTCGCTACTATCCTGTCAGGATGCTGCCAGCTTGTCATTGCAAAGATCATCGACGTTTGGGGACGTTCCGAGGGTTTCGCCATCATGATCCTGTGCTCTGTCATCGGTATGATCATGAAGGCTACCTGCAAGAACATGGAGACCTACGTTGCCGCCCACACCATCTACTACGTTGGTCACTTTGGCATGATGTTCGTCATTGACATCATGATCGCCGATATGACTTCGCTGCAGAACCGTATGATCATGTTCGGAATCAACGGTACCCCCACCATTGCCGTCACCTTCGCCGGCCCCAAGATCGCCGACCTCTTCTACACCAACCTCAACTTCCGCTGGGCTTTCGGTGCCTTCGCCATCATTCTTGCTGGTGTCTGCATTCCCGCCCTGACCATCATGCTGCTCATGCAGCGCAAGGCCGAGAAGGCTGGTCTCTTGGCCAAGGCTAAGTCCAACGACCGCTCTTACCTTCAGGGCTTCATCTACTACTTGATTCAGTTCGATAGTAAGTTTTTCCGTTTCAGCTGATTGGATAATTCGCGGGACCAGGCGCTAACCATGTTTCCAACAGTCATGTGCATTGTCCTCATCATTGCCATGTTCTCCATGATCATGCTTCCCTTCAACATCGTCTCCTACGCCCCCAACGGCTGGAAGACTGGCTACATCATTGCTATGGAGGTCGTCGGAGTCGTCCTCATCCCGATCATCTACATCTGGGAGAAGTACCTCGCCCCCGTCAGCTTCATTGATTACAAGTACCTCAAGGAGCCGACCCTCATCGGCGCCTTCCTTCTCTACGGAATCATGTTCATCTCCATCTTCACCTGGGATACCTACTACCAGTCTTACCTCCTGGTTGTCCACAGACAGAGCATCACCTACGCCGGATACATCCTGAACGCCTTCTCCCTGACCTCCTCCTTCTTCGGCCCCATCTTCGGATTGATCATTAGATGGACTGGTGACTACAAGTACACCGCGCTTGCTGGTGTTCCCTTCATGCTTCTGGGTACCGCTCTCCTGATTCCCCTGCGTAAGCCCAGCACCCCCGTCGGTGCCCTGGTCGTCATGCAGATGCTCAACGGTATCGGCACCGGTCTCTTCGCCGCCTGCGGTCAGATCGCCGTCATGGCCGTTGTCACCCACCAGGAGATTGCCTCCGCTATGGCCATCTACTCCCTCTTCGGTGGTATCGGTTCTTCCATCGGTTTCGCCATTGCTGGTGGCCTGTGGAACAACATCATGCCCACGGAGCTGTACAACAACCTCCCCGACTACGCCAAGAACAGAACCGCTGAGATCTTCGGCGACGTCACGATCCAGATGTCCTTCGAGGACGGCGACCCCATTCGCGACGCCATCGTTGCCGCCTACGCTGATGTCCAGCACAAGATGGTCATTGCCGGTTCTTGCTTGGTTCCCCTTTGCTTGGCCTCCATCCTCCTGTGGAAGCACATCAACATCAAGAAGGTCGAGAGCGAGAAGGGTACCCAGACCAAGGGCAACGTCTTCTAAACGAATCCGTTTTACCTTTTACCAGCCTGGGACAACCCCAAGTCCGTATGGACCAAAATTCTCATCATGTGTTTCTAGCCATCCGGCAGAGACTAGGCATTGTGGACTCATCATACCCCTTATCCGCATGTCGAGGACCTGCTAAAACCAATGTGTTTCAATCTTCCTTGGTTGGACTCGATAAATGTACTTAATCGCATGGGCCGGCCTCAGAAAGGGGACCCGACAAATAATCTTTTTCAATATCACACTCTTATGAAGTAACCCTGTGCCCCTCGCTGTATGCTTTGTGAATGATCATGTGTTCAAGAGACAATTGAGTTTGACGAGCTTTCGTGGAAAGTGGTGTCACATTACGGGGAAAGATTCAGCAGGTAATCGTGTCGCGCAGATGCTCGGGAAAGGTTACGAGAACCTCGCAACTTTATACTCAATGCGGCTC